GGTGATACTGACCCTCACATACACACACAGGGTGATACTGACCCTCACACACACACAGAGTGATACTGACCCTCACACACACACACAGAGAGTGATACTGACCCTCACACACACACAGGGTGATACTGACCCTCACACACAGGGTGATACTGACCCTCACACACACACACACAGAGCAGTGTGAAAAGCGTAGGCTTTACTTACTGTGTACTTTGTTGGGGTTGGGTTGTTTGCGGCGGGACATGTTGCTGCTGGGATCTGCTACTGATGCTGATGGCAGAGCCGCCTGGAGTTGGAGGGGGGGGGGGGGGGGGGGGCACTGAGAGAGAGAGAGAGAAAAAAAAACTTTTTGTGTTGTTTCTAAAGTTTGTTCCGGAAAGAAATCAAAATGGCGTTAGTGTGGATGTGGATAGGCAACTCACCTCCCTCCTCCTCCTCCTCTTCTTCTTCTTCTTCTTCTTCCTGGAATCAGACAGATAGGAGGGAGGGAGAGAGAGAGAGAGAGGAAAGAGAGGGTTAGCTGCTGCGGGCTTCTCTCGCCTTCTCTCTCTCTCTCTCTAAGTCTCTAAACCTGATAAGTAAACTCATCACGTGGGACTCTCTCTCTCTCTCTCTCTCTGGTCTCCTAGGGACGGACTCTATAGCCTTTGGTTTTCTGTGTGTGTGTGTGTGTAATAAACACAAGCATCAGCATCATCTACACAGGAGGGGTCTCTCTAGAGCAACTCAACACAAGGAGGAGGGAGAGAGAGAGAGACATTTGGGGTGGTGGGGGGAAGAGAACAAGGTTAGAGAGAAAGAGGAACCTGTGCAGGTACCAATCCAACTTCATCCTCCGTCTAACTCCCTTTTCCCAGCGCCTGGGACTCCTAGGTTCCACCAGGGGGAAATCAAGTAAAACTCTGAACTAAAATACACAAGTCTTTTAGATCTGAAAACAGTGCATGGGTTTCTTTCTAGAATAGCATCGATCTCTTCCCCACCCCTCCTCGCATCAGTCCTTCTGCTCAATGGACTATGGACGGCAGTTTTTTGTGGGTACCGAGTGTTTTTATTGTGGATATAAAGTTCTCTCTCTGTCTCTCTCAGGAAAGCTGCATCGCTCATATTTCAGCCGCTGTTCTGGAAAAGGGGAGTTTTTTTTTGCAGACCGTCTTTCACAATCGTCGCTTCTGTGGACTGGTATCTTCTTGGCCAAACGTTTAATTCTGGAGCTTTTTTTCTTGTCCGTCCTGCCATCGGGAACTTGTACTTTTGCAAACTGTCCTTGATTTTCGAAATAAAAATGCAGAAGTTAATCTCAGCAATTTGCAGATGAGGGAGCAGGTTTTGTAATCCCATCAAAACTGATACTGAAAGCATCTCGTTGTACCAGCGATGTCTGCGCGCTGCAAAAAAATAAATAATTTAAAAGTTCGTAAGTTTTTATTTAAACTTCCAGTTTTCGTTATTTGATAATTTGCCTGGAAGTAGTGCCTCCTTTTTTTTAATCGTGATATTGAATATGTGAATTACACTGGCTTTTCCATGCTTCCACATTTCCTTGCGAGCAACTATTGTCAAACTGACGCCAGTGCTTTTCCTCTGCACTGTCTTCCATAGATTGCAGTTTCAAAACTCAAGTTATGTGGAAGTGGCTTTCTGTAATACCAACGTTGCAGCATAAATACATATGGATTCTAATTGACTAGTACAAAATGGATCCCTTTACTATTGACATCTGAGAGTATCTTTTAACCAGAAACTGTGGGTGAAATGCAGTCACCTAAGTTGCACTCAACTTTGTGTACAGTTTAAGATTTATGAAGTAACACTTGTTGCATTTATGTTCCCCCGCCCAATATATACCTCAAAGAGAGAAAAGAATACTTATTTACAGTCTTAAAGTGTAAAGACAATTTATCTGATCCATGCCTCTGTTTCTAGTTTTTGGATGTAGTTAGCCATGCTTGTTCAGCCTGTCCTGAAAAAATAAAACTTCTTTACTAATTATCACAAGTAGTTAACCCTTTATAGTGATATTTCTGCATTGTTGTATTAGTTTTTTGTTCATTACAAAGTACTGTAAGTTAAAAAAAACTGATTCAATTTTTAATTGTAATCATTTTCTGGGTTTAGGAAAGGTGGCAATGCCTTATGAAGTTTAAAATATCTTTTAGCATTCATGTCTCATGGATGGAAAATGGCATCAGTGTAAATCTGTATAATGGAAGCTCTACACCATCTACAAAATGTACCTTTAATGAGTTGACTTATTAAAATAATGGCAAAACTTTTATTCTCTCTGCAGTTCTATTTACACCTGTTTACTACCATCAACCTGTATCCAGCTTTTAACATCATGATCAAAGCAGAATAAGCTTAGTGTTTAGGCTTTACTGCTACTTATTTTTTCATTTTTGTAGCCAATACATTCGCATACATGTGTATGCTGTTCTGTAAACAAAGAACAGGTACAGTTCTACAAGGAGTTTAACAATTGCAGTTAAAAGGTTAACAAAAAACATCATTAAACAACAGAAATTAAGTTCAAAAAAGAGAGTTCAGGGCAGATGAACTGCAATGATATTTTTTAAGGACAAGATGTCAGAATGGAGGAGTGTAAAAGTACCATCCACATATGTTAAAATAATAATTCATAATTAGTTTTCCACTCACTAAAATGTTGCTGACTGGTGCCATAGTCAATGCAAGTTCTTGCTAATCTGATATAATTACAATTAGTAAGAGTCTTCTATTTGATGAATGATGTAAAAAAAGATGGCCATAAAGAACAGACAAAAGGTTCACGGTCTACATAAATCAATGTTACTAATTATTCTTAGAGTACAAGTTCCCTGTAATTCCAAGTCAAGTTTGTTGGTGATTATTCATTTATCAGTGTGAGCCACATCAGTAGAATATTATACCTGCTGCAATTTTGTGTTTACAGAATGTTGCACACTCAGATCTTGTCTTCACAGTTTTAACGACAATGGCATTGCTGGACTTTCCTAGAAGTGGTGTGTGCATTTTGCTTTGAGTGTTGTGCCCACACTGTCCAGTTATAAAATGTGAACTGCATGCCATGGGTTTTTTGATCGCACTATGATTTTTTTTCAAGAACAAATTAGGAAAGTGCTTAATAAGGCAAGGCCAGACAAAAAAAATTGTTACACTGTCTTTTATTTTACCACTTGCCTTCAAATAACATGAATTAATCAATACAATGGGGTAGAGTTTCCACTTTGAGTACAGTTGGGAAATTGTGCCCAAAATGCACTTAAAATTGTGCTCAGTGGTTTGCAATTCAAGTTTCTGCTAAAATTTATAACCATAAATGCAAATGTAAAATTCCAATTCAAAATGCAAATCTAAAATGAGCCATACAATTGGCAAATAAATAAAACTTAATTGTTTTTCTATTGAAATGTATTCATTGATGTACTTAAGAATGGTAGCCTGGTATACTTTTATTAATACAATTGGAAGTTTGCATATCACTAAAATTGAGCATGGGTAATATTGGGGTTCATTGTCTACCTGTGAGTGAATGTAATTTTAAAAGAAACATATTGTACCTGATCATTTAATAATTCCAGTAGTGTAATCTAGTCAATTTCTTACTAAATCATAGAATCCTAATTTTGTATCATTGGCAGATTTTGAAATTGCGGCTTGTATACCAAGATTTAGGCCATATAAAAGATTGAGGGCCCCAATACAGACTGACTCCTGGCGATCTCCACTACAAATCTTCTTCTGACCTTTAAAACCTCTATTAACCAGTACTCCGTCTTTTGTCACGCTGCTAATTTTGCACCCCTGCTCCTATTGTCCCTTTCTTTCATATGAAAATCTGCACGCAAGAAAATGAACACAACTGGCAAAGTGTTTCTGAACCATAACAGTCAAAAACTCATCTTTTTGCCCTGGGACACGACTAGTTTTGTAAGCAGGTTGTGATCTGAGTGAAGTGAATCTTGGACAAGTATCCAAGATCACAGGGAAAAAAACAAGTGAGAGTAGTTTTGCCTGCAAATCACTTAAATGCAAATTTGCCCAATCTTTTGCCCTGGTTTGGCTGGATTCCAGTGATGTGACTGGTCAAAACTCAATTACACAGTGCAATCTTGCATCAGTGGATCCCTCTTATTTGAGTCTAGTAATTGATTAAACACCCTTTGTGGTAGGAAACTGAGCAATGGTCAATGTGTATTTTCCAGTCTGGAGGAAAGTTTGTAGTGGAGAGGTCAGTACTGGGAGCCTTGATTTACCTGATTTATTTTAATGATCTCAAGCTTGGTACGCATGGGACAATTTCAAAGTTTGCAGATGACACAAAACTTGGAAGCATTGTAAACAGTGATCGGGTCTGTGTGGAAACCAGAATGATATGGACACGTTGGTGGAGTGGGCAGATAGGTGGCAGAGAAGTGTGAGGTGATGCATTTAAGTCAGAAGAACATTGAAAGACAATATAAAACAGGAGATACAATTCTAAGGAGGACCTGGGTGTCTTTGTGCACAGGTCATTGAAAGTAGCAGGACAGGTAGAGAGAGCAGTGAGTAAAACATACAGTATCCTCAGCTTTATTAATAAGTATATAGAATACAAGAGCAAGGAGATGATGTTGAACTTTGTTTAAGACATTTGTTAGACCTCAGCTGGAGTATTGTGTACAGTTGATTGTGTCATGTTATAGGAAGTACACATTGGAGAGAGTGCAGATTTGATTTACTAGAATGGTTCCAGGGATGAGGGACTTTAGTTATGAAGATAGGTTCAAGAAACTGGTAACACAGTGTGGAGCTGGAGGAACACAGCAGGCCAGGCAGTATCAGAAGAGCAGGAAAGCTGACATATGGGGTCGGGACCCTTCTGGGGCAGTTCTCCTTGGAGAGAAGAAGACTGAGAGGAGGAGACAGTAAGGACTCAGGATGCTGGAGTCAATAAAGAGTCAATAAATGTGGAGCTGGAAAAGCACAGCTGGTCAGACAGCATCCAAGGAGCAGGGAAGTCAATGTTTCGGGCCAAAACCCTTCCCCAGTCCTGATGAAGGGTTTCAGCCCGAAATGTTGAATTTCCTGCTCCACTGATGCTGTCTGACCAGCTGTACTTTTCCAAGACTGAGAGATTGGATAGAGGTTTCAAAATCACGAGTGAGCTGGAAGACAAGACAGGGAGAAGCTGTTCCCACTCATAAAAGGAACAAGAACAAGAGGGCACAGGTTTAAAGTGATGTGCAGTAGAAGCAAAGGAGAAGTGAGGAAAACCTTTTTCACTGAATGAGTAATTACAGTCTGGAGTGCACTGCCTGCCAGTGTGGTGGAGGCAGGTTCAATTGAGACACTCAGAGAGTATTGGATGGTTATTTGGGTAAAAATAATGTGTGAGGGTATGGGGAAACAGCAGGCGATTGGCACCGGGTAACGAGCTGGTGCAAGCACAATGGGCCGATTGGCTGTAACACCTCTGTGATTCTTATACATTCTGACCTTCTGCATCTGGACAAAAGCATGCTGTGGTAGAAATCTGACCGTCAATGTGTCTTTCTATCATCGATCTGATCTCCCTCTGTTGCAGCTTGAAAGAGATGTGCTTACTAAAACAACCTTAAACATTCACTAGCTCCACCATCAACGCACTGATGCAGCAGTGTGTACCATCTGCCAGCTCCTCTGATGGATCCTTGGGCAGCACCTTCCAAACCTGAAACCTCTGCCACCTTAGAAGGACGTGGGCAGCAGATACATGGGAACACCACGACTTGCAAGTTCCCCTCTGAGCCACACACGACCCTGACATGAAACACATCCTGATGCTATCCCCCCTAACATCACTATGGGTGTCCTGACACCGATGAACTGTAGCAGCTCAGTACCACCTTCTCAAGGGCAATTAGGATGGGCAACTAACACTGGCCTAACCAATGGTGCCCACATTCCATGAACAAATATAAATTTAAAAATGGAGGAGGTTTCCAGACATAATCATGTTCCTTTACATTTATAGGGACATCTTAATATATTCCCTACTGTTAGAAGTGGCCAGGGAAATAATATTGACGGCTACTCTAAGGATACAGGTGGACTATTTAGGACTGAGAAGGGGTGAAATTTCTTCAACGAGTGGCAAGTTTGTGGAATTTGCTACTACAGAGAGGTCAAAGCATTGTATGATTTCAAGAAAGAGTTGAATATAACACTTGAGGCTAAAGGGATTGATGGATAATGAGGAAAAGCGGCAACAGGTTATTGAGCCATGATCATAGTGAATGGTGGAGCAGGCTCGAAGGACCTACTGCTGCTCCTATTTTCTAAGTATTTAGCTCCTTAGCTTTTGAACCACTCTTTCAGTGATTTCATGTAAATCCAACTTGTGTGAATGCATTTTGGTTCAAGATCTCAACACTAAAATGGAACTTATTTCCAAATCTTTTTCTGAAAAAAGAGAAAAAGCCTCGAACATGACCCTAACATTTACTTGAGTAATATTTATATTAATATTGCCTTATAGGCTTTTTGTAATTTTGTAATTGAACTCGATGTAAATTAACAGAAAGGTGTGCATCTCAAGACAACTAACCTGTCCTCACATGTTCTTCAACTCCATTGTTGCTGTGTTAATTGAACAATTATTAAACTACATTCTGCACATTGTAGTTATTAGCAAGAAAATACAGTAGATATAATTCTGTTAAACAAATTAAATCTGCTCCCTTTTCATTGTGGTACATTGTTCACTTATGTGTGAGCTCTATCTTTACTGCTAATTTTCACCAATATGAATATCTCAAAAGTAAACAAAGCCATGGTCCTCACACCATTAGAACTGGAAAAGATATCTAGCCCCTGAGTCTTATTCACTGAGACCATAATTGACTCATAGCCTGAAGACCTTTACCTGCCTTCACCCCATTATCATGTAGTACCTTAATTCAGCAAAAAATCTATTGATCTCATGTTTAAAATTAACAATTGATCCAGCATCTACTACCAACTTGGGAAGAGAGTTCCTCACTTCTATCACCCTTTGTGTGAAGAAATATTTCCTAATGTCACTTCTGAAAGGCCTGACTTTAATTTTTAAACTATGGCCCCTGGTCCTCAACTCCCCAACCGACAAAAATAGGTTCTCTCTAACTGTAGCCTTTCTGCTCCCTTTAATAGAATCATAGAATCCCTACAGTGTGGAAGCAGGCCATTTGGCCCATCCAGTCCACACCAACCCTCCAAAGAGCAGACCACCCAATCCCTGTAAACCTGCATTCCCCATGGCTAACATACCTAACCT